AGTTGGAGGCCGCTAATATGTCGGATAAAATTAAAATCCATTCGGAGCGTATTCTCCATCTCAGTATCAGGGTTATTCACGATTCTATTCCTGCCAGATGGAAATATACTATCAACACTTACTTCAAAAGAAACGGGAAATCTTTCACATCATAGCTTTGAACTGCACTTTTCTGATGAACTAAATTTGCCACTATATACGTTTGAAAAGGGCACAATCTATAAATATCTAATACGTGACCTGTCAATAACACAACACCCACAAAAACTTGACACTGTTTGGCGTGACATCCTTAGGCTGCCTGAAAATGCTAAACCCAACTTCAAAGGTTGCTATGAAACACCAGTCATTAACAAGCAGCAGCATATTGACCATGGTGTTTTTCCAACGGGGAGATTTCTGTTCAAAGCTCGTTTGAACAATTCAGATAAATGTCCGTTTTGTGATGAAGTTGACACACTTCAACACATTTTTTGTGATTACTCCATTATTTTAATAACATCACGTCGCGACTGCTTCAACCAGACTTTCACATTCCTATTTGGTGGTTCACCATTTTACCACCCCATCGCTCAAAACACTTTATGTCTAGGAAGGCACAAGGTATATTTTGTTTCTTAACGTGCATGGCTAAGGTTGCGATTCATGTCAGCCGTCGTAATAAAAGGCAAAACAAAGGCTCGAGTAAGCCTCTGGAATTTTTTATTCAAAATATTAAGTCGAGGCTTGAAACAGAATATGAATGTTCCCGGATCATGAACCAACTGCCTGAATTTGAAATTATGTGGACGGTAGAGGATGCACTTTGTAAAATCGAGGATAACACACTTCGCATTCTACTGTAATTGTTGCAGGTTGCCTTGTCTTGTTGTTAAACATCGATACAAACGAACATCATTGTATTAGCAAAATTAGCACACGCACAGGAGCCAAGAGTTTTGTCCTCTTGGTGGGCTACCATTGCACACACTTACAGCAGCGCATATATGTTTTATGTTACTTGTTCTGTGTTTTAAATGTTTTGATTTTCCCTTGGAATTTGGCAGGGGGGTTGGTACCCCCTTAAGTGCGAACCGGTGTCACCGGCCTGCCTACGGGGTTCCAAGGTGTTTTTGTACTGTTACGTGATGGTCTTTTATTTTATTTTACCCGTGAACCAAAAAGCATAATATAATACAATCGGGTGAACGCAGTGCTTTTCAGCGCTCCCCGATTTTCTGCCTGTTTTGCGTTTTTGCGCTCGTTGTGCGCCCGTGTTTCTACACAGCTGTATATATAGTGTGTCTACCTTTTACGTGAGTAATTTATAGTTGTTGTTTTCGTTATTATTGTGGGTTTTGGAGTGTTTTTGCCTTTGCCTTGGCAAGGTGGTCGGCAACCAAGATGGCTGCCGCTCACACAAGGCCACCGTCAACACCAACAGGTCACCTTACTAGAAACCATGCGGTACGGTGTGAAAACATTGATGGCATTCCTGTTGAAACTTATGTGGAGTCGGTTGCAGATTTAGTCGGGCCAGTAATATTGTGGCTGCATCCCGTATGAACCGATCGGTTATTGTCTTTT